AAAGTCTTTCATTTTGATGAAGTCCACTTGTTATTGTTGCTTGTGCTTTGGTGTCAAATCCCAGAAATTATTGTCAAATCTAATGTTGTGAAGCTGCTAAGAGTTTTATAGTTTTGGCTCTTATGTTTAGGTATTTGATTCATTTTGAGTTAATTATTTTTTATTTTCCTGAGCGGGAGTCTTGCTCTGTTGCCCAGGCTGGAGTACAGTGGCACCATCTCGGCTCACTGCAACCTCCACCTCTTGTGTTCAAGTGATTCTCTTGCCTCAGCCTCCTGAATAGCTGGGATTACAGGTGCCCATCACCACACCCAGCTAATTTTTGTATTTTAGTAGACACAGGGTTTCACTATGTAGGTCAAACTGGTCTCGAACTCCTAACCTCAAGTGAACCACCTGCCCTGGCCTCCCAAAGTGCTAGGATTATAGGCGTGAGCCACACTGCCTGGCCTTGAGTTAATTTTTGCATGTGGCTCCTTCAGTTTTCCCAGCACCATCGTTTTGAAAAGATAGTTCTTTCTCCATTGAATAGTCTTTGGGGTTAGACTGATGGTAGATTTCAGGCTCTGCTCTGACTGGGTGAAGTGGAGAGGGAGAGAGGATAGGAGCCTCCCACTGCCCTCTTTAGGTCAGCTTGTGGAGAGTTAGCATAAGACTTTTCTTAGTCTCTTGACTAAGAGATAAGTTTGAAATCTGCTAGGCCTGCCAAGCGCCTGTAATCCCAGTACTTTGGGAGGCTGAGGTGGGTAGATCACTTGAGGCCAGGAGCTTGAGACCAGCCTGGCCAGCATGGTGAAACCCTGTCTCTACTAAAACTACAAAAAATTAGCCGGGCTTGATGGTGGGCGCCTGTAGTCCTAGCTACCCAAGAGGCTGAGGCAGGAGAATTAATTGCTTGAACCCAGGAGGCAGAGGTTGCAGTGAAGCAAGGTCACACCGCTGCACTCCAGCTTAGGCAACAGAGTGAGACCCTGTCTCAAAAACAAAACAAAGCAAAACAAAAATGTAAGAAGACAAGCTTCCAGCTGGGCACGGTGGCTCACGCCTGTAATCCCAGTACTTTGGGAGGCCGAGGCGGGTGGATCACGAGGTCAAGAGATCGAGACCATCCTGGTCAACATGGTGAAACCCCGTCTCTACTAAAAATACAAAAAATTAGCTGGGCATGGTGGCCTGTGCCTGTAATCCCAGCTACTCAGGAGGCTGAGGCAGGAGAACTGCCTGAACCCAGGAGGCGGAGGTTGCGGTGAGCCGAGATTGCGCCATTGCACTCCAGCCTGGGTAACATGAGTGAAACTCCGTCTCAAAAAAAAAAAAAAAAAGACAAGCTTCCAGTCAGGCATAGTGGCTCTTGTCTGTAATCCCAGCACTTTGGGAGGCCAAAGTGGGAGGATCTCTTAAGCCAGGAGTTACAGACTTTCCTGGACAACATAGGGAGACCCCATTACTACAAAAAATTCAAAAATTATCTGGGTGTGGTGGCACGTGCCTGTAGTCCCAGCTACTTGGGAGGTTGAGGTTGGGGGATCACTAGATCCCAGGAGGCTGCAGTGAGCCATGATGGCGCCACTGCACTTCAGCCTGGGCAACACAGTGAGACCCTATCACTAAATGATAAGCTGCAAACTTGGAGAAAAATATATGATAAGGGATTTGTATCCAGAATATATAATGGGCCGGGTGCAGTGGCTCACACCTGTAATCCCAGCACTTTGGAAGGTGGAGGCAGGTGGATCCCTTGAGGTGGAGCTCAAGATTAGCCTGGCCAACATGGTGAAACCCCATCTCTACTAAAAATGCAAAAACTTGCCGGGCATGGTGGCATGTACCTATAATCACAGCTACTTGGGCGGCTGAGACAGGAGAATCCCTTGAACCCAGGAGGCAGAAGTTGCAGTGAGCCAAGATCGTGGCACTGCACTCCAGCCTGGGTGACAGAGTGAGGCTCCCTCCTAAAATATAAACAAATAAGGTCAGGTGTGGTGGCTCACGCCTGTAATCCCAGCACTTTGGGAGGCCGAGGCGGGCGGATCACAAGGTCAAGAGATCAAGACCATCCTGGCCAACATGGTGAAACCATCTCTACTAAAAATACAAAAAATTAGCTGGGTGTAGGGGTGCACGCCTGTAGTCCCAGCTACTCAGGAGGCTAAGGCAGGAGAATCGCTTGAACCCAGGAGGCGGAGGTTGCAGTGAACCGAGATTGCGCCACTGCATTCCAGCCTGGCATCTGGCAACAGAGCGAGATTCTGTCTCAATAAATAAATAAATAAATGACTACAAAATTAGCTGGGCATGGTGGCAGGTGCCTGAAATCACAGCTACTCTGGAGGCTGAGGCAGGAGAATCACTTGAACCTGGGAGGCAGAGGTTGCAGTGAGCCAAGATGGCACCATTGTACTCCAGCCTGGGCAAAACCTCACCTCAAAAAAAAAAGAGTATTAAGATTGAAATTTGAAATTTTGGCTGAGTCAGTCAGGGGAGGTTTCTCTGTGGTGGTGACATTTGAGCAGAGGCCTGAAGGAGGTAAGGAGGAGCTACTGCAAATCTGGGCTGGAGAAACAGCCTGCGCAAAGGCCCTGAGGCAGGACTGTGTCTGAGATTTTTTTTTTTTCTTTTTTTAGATGGAGTCTACCTCTGCTGCCCAGGCTGGAGTGCAGTAGCAAGATCTCAACCCACTGCAACCTCCGACTCCTGGGCTCAAGTGATTCTCCTCCCTCAGCCTCCCAAGTAGCTGGGATTTCAGGCACCCACCACTATGCCTGGCTAATTTTTGTATTTTTAGTAGAGACGGAGTTTTGCCATGTTGGCCAGGCTGGTAGAGATCTCCTGACCTCCAGTGATCCACCCACCTCAGCCTCCTAAAGTGCTGGGATTACAGGCGTGAGCCACCTCGCCTGGCCTGTGTCTCAGATTTTTAGGGAACAATGAGGAAGCCATTATGGCTGGAGCAGAATGAATGTGGGGGAAAGGGGAAGTCATGGGACAGGACCTGTGAGCTGCAGTGAGGACTTTGGATTTTGCCGAGTAAGGTGGGATCCATAGAAGGTTCTGAGCAGAGGGAGGACTAGACCTAATTTAGGTGTTCCCAAGCTCCCCCTGGTGGCCGTTGAAAGAAGACTGGGCTTGAAAACAGGAGGAGGGACCAGGGCAGAGGTGAATGCAGCTGGTCCTGGCTAGGGATGAGGGGAGCTGGCCAAGGAGTGAGTGAGAAGTAGACACATTCTGGATAAATGTTGGCAGCAAGGCTGATTTGAGATGCAAAGGAAAGTGAATGATCCCACATATTTTGGCCTCCGTGTCCCCAGCACAGCAGTGGGGATGGGTGCCCCCCGGTGCTCAACAAGTGTTCCATCTTTGCAGTTCTGTGTCTCCCATCACTTTTAGGGTATCTGTGTTTCTTTTTTTTTTTTTTTTAAGGAAAAAACAGAGCTGGCCGGGCGCGGTGGCTCAAGCCTGTAATCCCAGCACTTTGGGAGGCCAAGGCGGGTGGATCACGAGGTCAAGAGATCGAGACCATCCTGGTCAACATGGTGAAACCCCGTCTCTACTAAAACTACAAAAAATTAGCTGGGCATGGTGGTGCGTGCCTGTAATCCCAGCTACTCAGGAGGCTGAGGCAGGAGAATTGCCTGAACCCAGGAGACGGAGGTTGCGGTGAGCCGAGATCGCGCCATTGCACTCCAGCATGGATAACATGCGTCAAAAACCCACACAAAAAAAAAAAAAAAAAAGAAAAAAGAAAAAAACAGAGCTTTATTATTCTCAACACCAGCGGCAGCGGTCTCCGTAGGACAGGGGAGTGAGTTCTGTTGACTGACAGGGATAGGTGGCTCCTACCTGCTGGCGATGAGCAGGTTCTGAAGGACCGCAACAACCGAGTCCCCGCGCAGGAACATCTTGGAGATGTAGCGGTCTTTGCTGATTGGCTTGGACTTCTTCTTGCCCTTGCCACTCTTGGGTACCTCAGTCCACATCTCCTTCACGTTCTGCAGCACCATGTTGCAGTGCCTATCGAAGGCCTTCACGTGGCCCAGGAGTTTCTTATTGTTGCGGCAGTTGATGAGCACTTGGGTGTTGTTCTTGACGTACTGAGTGAGCACAGAGTGGACCTGTATTAAATTCCTCCTCCTCTCACATCTGCAGCTCCTCTGGGGTCATCTCACTCTTGGGCTTGTCGAGGAGGCTCATGTTGGTCACTAAGCTCTCGATTCACTCCCATTTCCTCTGCGTTGCTGCTGCCTCCTATGTGTCTTTCTTTAACATCCTCCACTTGGCCAGGCGTGGTGGCTCACACCTGTAATCCCAACAGTTTGGGAGGCTGAGGAGGTGGATCACATGAGGCCAGGAGTTTAAGACCACCCTGGCCAGCATGGTGAAATCCTGACTCGACTAAAAATACTAAAATTAGCCAGGCATGGTGGTGCATGTCTGTAATCCCAGCTACTCGGGAGGCTGAGGCACAAGAATCATTTGAACCCAGGAGGCGGAGGTTGCCGTGAGCCGACATTGTGCTACTGCACTACTCTAGCCTGGGCCACAAAGAGAGACCATGTGTCAAAAAAAAAAAAAAATTCTCCACCTGAATCTCTGCCAGGAATTCCCTTGGTTTCTTCTTTCCTCTTCTTTTCTTCTTTTTGAGATGGAGTCTTGCTGTGTCGCCCAGGCTGGAGTACAGTGCTGCAATCTCAGCTCACTGCCACCTCCACTTCCAGGGTTCAAGCAATTCTCCTGCCTCAGCCTCTCAAGTAACTGTGATTACAGGCACCCGCCACCACACCTGGCTAATTTTTGTATTTTTAGCAGGGATGGGGTTTCATCATGTTGGCCAGGCTGGTCTCAAACTCCTGACCTCAACTGATCCACCCACCTTAGCCTCTCAAAGGGTTGGGATTACAGGCGTTACAGGTGTGAGCCACCATGCCTGGCCTCCTCATTCCTCTTGACCTCCTTAACACCATTTCAGCCTCCTGACCACTCTTCTCACCCATCCCCTGCAGCTTCGATGCAGAAAATGGACCGACACCATCTCCCGGCCGAAGCCCCCTGGACTTGCAGGCGAGCCCAGGACTTGTGCTCCACGCTGGGGCGGCCACCAGCCAGCGCCGGGAATCCTTCCTGTACCGCTCAGACAGTGACTATGACATGTCACCCAAGACCATGTCCCGGAACTCATCGGTCACCAGCGAGGCGTAAGCATGTCCCTCCCCACATCCCAGTTCCCCCAGGCCTGGTCCTGCTGCAAGCTGCCCTTCTCAGCAAGGAGTAGGGGGCACCCACCCCCATCCTGCTTAGCAACCCCCAACCTGTCCTCCCCAGTGAAGGGTAAGCAGTCCCCTGTCCCTTCTATAAAGGGCTCAGTTTTTGTTTTTTTTGTTTTTTTTTTTTGAGACAGAGTCTCAATCTATCACCCAGGCTGGAGTATAGTGGCACGATCTCAGCTCACTGAAACCTCCGCCTCCTGGGTTCAAGCGATTCTCCTGCCTCAGTCTCCCAAGTAGCTGGGACTATAGGCGCCCGCCACCCACACTGGCTAATTTTGTATTTTTAGTAGAGATGGGGTTTTGCCAGGCTGGCCAGGCTGGTCTCGAATTCCTGACCTCAGGTGATCTGCTCACCTTGGCCTCCCAAACTGCTGGGATTACAGGTGTGAGCCACCGTGCCCGGCCTCAGTTCTTTTATAAAAAAATATATTAAAATAGTGGGGGCTGGGTACAGTGGCTCACACCTGTAATCTCAGCACTTTGGGAGGCCAAGGTCGGTGTTGTTCCAGGCCAGGAGTTTGAGATTAGCCTGGCTAAGATGGTGAAACCCTGTCTCTACTAAAAATACAAAAATTAGGAGGGGGCGGGGAGGTAAAAAATAAATAAATATAAAACTTAGTGGGGCAAGATGGCACATGCCTGTAATCCCAGCCTCTTGGGAGGTTGAGGCAGGAGAATTGCTTGAACCAGGGAGGCAGAGGTTGCAGTGAGCCGAGATCACACCACCGCACTCCAGCCTGGGTGACAGAGCAAGACTCTGTCTAAACAAAACAAAACAAACAAAAAAAACCATATTCACCTCTCCTCTCTCTCCCTTTCACCACTTTCTCTCTTCTCCCCCGACCCACCTGAGCCACAATGCTTGACTGCCATTGCTTCCATGATCAGCCCTGGACACACGTCCACCCTTATGCAGTATAATGTCCTCTCCCTGGGCCCCACAAAGCCCCCTCCCTCCCTCTCAGCCTCCCTGGGTCCAGCCTCACAGATCGTCCACCCCAGACAGTTGCTTTTCTGCAGACCCCTGACCTGCCTCTGTCCTCAATCACAGGCACGCTGAAGACCTCATCGTAACACCATTTGCTCAGGTGAGATGCCCTCCCCAAATGGTTACGGAGAAAACAGGCTCCAACATTCCACCACACTTGGGGGAAGGGCCCAGCCCTGCTGCCGGTCTGGGGGGACCCCATCCTCACTGCCACTTCCCATCCCAGGTGCTGGCCAGCCTCCGGAGCGTCCGCAGCAACTTCTCACTCCTGACCAATGTGCCCGTTCCCAGTAACAAGTAAGTGAAGGCTGAGCTGCAACAGCTGTGATCATAAGGCGATGCTTTCCCGGGTTTTGCTCTCAGCCCTGCTGTGTGACCTCGGGCAGGCAGGTGACCTCTCTGAACCTCTGTTCAGACAATAGCTCCCAGAGAACCAGAGAACCATTGCAGCTCAAGCTCCTAAGACACAGGGTTTTGTTTTTTTGTTTTTGTTTTTTCTTGAGATGGGGTCTTACTCTGTCACCCAGGCTGCAGTGCAGTGCCACGATCTTGGCTCCCTGCAACCTCTGCCTCCTGGGTTCAAGTGATCCTCTTGCCTCAGCCTCCTGGGTGGCTAGGCTTACAGGCATGCGCCACCATACCTGGCTAATTTTTATATTTTTAGAAGAGGTGGGGTTTCACCATGTTGGCCAGGCTGGTCTCGAACTCCTGGCCTCAGGTGATCCACCCTCCTTGGCCTCCCAAAGTGCTGGGATTCCAGGTGCGAGCCACTGTGCCCTGCCCAGAGGCTTTTATAAATATTTGGGGGTCTGGATGCATGGTGATAAGGCCACAGCCACAGTCCCCAGGGCCACCCTGGGCCTTGACACCCAGTTGCTGGGCAGATGGCATTCCATGGGGTTTCTATTGCCCCTCTGTAAAGTGATGGTCACAGGCAAGCATGCTGGCTCATGCCTGTAATCCCGGCACGTTGGGAGACCAAGGCAGGAGGATCACTTGAATCCAGGAGTTCAAGACCAGCTTGAGGGAAACAAAGTGAGACCCTGTCTCTACAAAAAAAAAAATAAATAAAAGAAAAAAATTAGCCCAGCATGGTGGCATGTGCCTGTGGTTCCCATTTACACAGGAGGCTGAGGCAGAAGGATCATTTGAGCCTAGGAGGTTGAGGCTGCAGTGAACTGTGTTTCCACCACTGCACTCCAGCCTGGGTGACAGAGCAAGACCCTGGCTCAAAAAATAAATGGAATAATAAAGTGGGGATGACAGTAATGCCTCCTTAGATAACTGCTGTGAGGAGAGACGATGTCCAGAATGTGCCAAGATATTGTCCTGCATATAGTAAGTGCTCAATACACAGGAGTGGTTCTTATTTTGTTTTAGGGCAAGAGGTGTGACTGAGAGCTGCCAGTCCTTCTGGGGGTAGGGGACATAGACATCCTTGGGGCTTGGAGGATTTGCAGGGAGTTAGTCAGGAAAGCTGAGACCTTGGAAACCCAGGACCTGACCTTAAGGCAGATCAGCCATGTGGTCTTGAAGAAGCTGTTTCATCTCCTTGAGCCTCACTTTCCACATCTGTAACGGATTTTTCTGGGGCTCGTTGAGGCTGCAGGCAGAGTACATGGCAGCATCTCTAAGACAGAGTGAGCATTCAGAAAAATGATAATTGGCTGGGCGCAGTGGCTCATGCCTGTAATCCCAGCATTACAGGGAGGCTGAGATGGGCAGATTGCCTGAGGTCGGGAGTTCGAGACCAGCCTGCCCAACATGGAGAAATCCCATCTCTACTAAAAATACAAAGTTATCCAAGTGTGATGGGGCATGCCTGTAATCCCGGCTACGCGGGAGGCTGAGACAGGAGAATTGCTTGAACCCAGGAGGCAGAGGTTGCAGTGAGCCAAGATCACGCCATTGCACTCCAGCCTGGGCAACAACAGCGAAACTCTGTCTCAAAAACAAAAGCAAAAACGAAAACAAAAAAACGGAAAAATGAAAATTGGCACTGTTCATGGAAAGGGGGAGGGTGGGACCTGGTGGGGGGACCCAGGCTGACGTTGCAGCCCCATTTTTTTTGCAGGCGGTCCCCGCTGGGCGGCCCCACCCCTGTCTGCAAGGCCACGCTGTCAGGTAGCTAAGCCCAGAGGGGTGGGAAGGGTCCCCTCTTGCTGCCCCAGTGGGGGTCCCTCAGCCCCTTCCCCACCCAGCAGTCCATTCATCTGGTGAACCCTGTCACCGCGGGCTGGGGCCTCTGGGCTTCTGCCTATAGACCTTCTTAGTCACCATCCTGGCTGCTCCTTCCTTAGAAGAAACGTGTCAACAGTTGGCCCGGGAGACTCTGGAGGAGCTGGACTGGTGTCTGGAGCAGCTGGAGACCATGCAGACCTATCGCTCTGTCAGCGAGATGGCCTCGCACAAGGTGCGCAGGTGGTGGGCAGAACCCCTGGGCAGAGCCAGTGGGTAGAGCCAACCACTGGATGGGACCAGTGGGCATGGCCTGCGGATGGAGCCAGCCACTAGGCTGGACCTGTGGGCAGAGATAGCTACTGGGCGTGGCTGATTAGGGCAGGGCCAATCTCTGGGTGGGGCTGGTGGGGATGGGGCCTTATGGGTGGAGCCAACCACCAGGTTGGTCCTGTAGGCGAGGCCAACTATTGGGCATGGCTCATGAGGGCGGGGCCAATCTCTGGGTAGGGGCTATGGGATGGGGTCAGTCCCTGGGTGAGGTCAGTCCCTGGGTGGGGCCAATAGGAGCCTAGTGTGTGTTGGGGGGCGTGTCCGCCGGGTCATACAGATGTCAGTAGGTGACCGATTCCGTTGGGGGTTTTATGCTTTTATGGTCTGTGGGGGTGTAACTGTGGCTGTGGGTCTGTGTAGCTGCTGGTCTATTGGCTATGCATCTGCAGCGCTGGTGTTTTGGGAGTGGACTCTAAGGAGTGGCATGCCAGTGTGTACCTGTGGAGGGTGTATGGGTGTGCACGGGTGATTATTCAGGGCTATAGGTATGTGGGGCTATACCAGAGGGGTGCGCATGTCTGCAGGGGAGAGTTGGACCAGATGGGAATCTGAGTGTGTAGCTCTGTGTGTTTGTGAATGTGGGTGTGTTTGCAGGGCTGCAGGGGTGAGTGCAAGGCCCCCGTGTACAGTTGTGCAGACTGTGCACTGCACAACCCCAGAGGACACCATTCAGAAAACAGGCAGTATGTGTGAGTGATGCTTCCTGGAGTTGGAGACAGTGGTAGCAGCCCTTGTGGGTGGGTGCGTATCAAGACATGATCTGGAGGTGGGAGTGTCTTTGTTGGGGGGGTGCTTAATTGGTGGGTGGAGGCTTGTGTGGGAACATACCAGTCCAAGGGTGATTGTGTCCCTGAGGGTGGGTCAAGTATCTGAAATGTGGCTGTGTCTCTGGGTATGGGTCTGAGGGTGTTTCTTCGTGAGTGAATGGTGTGTGAGTATGTGTGTGCGTGTGTGAATTTTTGCATCTGTGAGTGTATATCCTTATGGATTTGTCAGGGTATGTTTGTGTCCAAGGTCAATGGATATTCGTAATGGTTGAAAACTGTGTCTGTGGGTGTGCCTACTGTGTGTCTGTAAGCGTGGCTTGCATCAGTGTCTGTCCCTAGGTGTGGGCCTGTGCCCTTGGATGGGGCGTGTCTGGAGGCATCTGCTATATGCTCAGCTGTGGACCTATAAATGTGTTGGACATCTGAGTTGTCACTACCTCGGGGGTGTGTGTGTGTGTGTGTGTGTGTGCGTGTGCTATAAGTGTACAACAGAAAGCATTTGGGTATCTGTGTGTATTCGAGTGTCAAGTGCCTGGATGTGTGTGGGTGTCCCTGGAAGGTGTGTCTCAGGGTGTTTGTACATCTGTGAGTGTACAGTGGGTGTGTGTTTCTGTCTCTGGGTTTGTCCATGGAAGGGACAGGTCCTCACAGGGACAGCCCACTTGGGTCTGGCTGAGGCCCGTGGGGCTCTGATGCCCCTTTAACGCCCCCCCACCCCCAGCACCACCTGACATCCCATGCAGTCTGCCAGTGCTGCAGTGAGCACACACGCACGCACACGGGTGCACACAAGGAGCTCTGCAGCCTCCTCCTGGGACCCTTGCCCTCCTCCCTCCCATGGGCACGGACCCTCCACCGCCTCCACCCACCGCTGTGTGGGGGCCCACTGGGGCCCAGGGCTGGCGGACCATGTAACCAGGGCTGCCGCCGGGAGCGCGGAGGGGAAGGGAGCCCCCAGCCCTGCTGGGCCGGCCCAGGCCCCTCCGCGGCTCCCCCTTCCACTACCCACCTGCCCGGCACCCCCTCCCGGGTGGTCGTCAACCCTGGGACTCCCCAAGCCCAGCCTCTGTGTGCAGCAGCCCCAGGCGGGCTAAGTCTCCAAGATGCCCTTGGTGGATTTCTTCTGCGAGACCTGCTCCAAGCCGTGGCTGGTGGGCTGGTGGGACCAGGTAGGAGGGTGCAGGGTAGTGGGTGGGCAGGCATCCCGGCCAGCTGGGTCCCTGGTGTGGGCTTGTGTGTGTTGCTGTGCACGTGTGTGGCCTGGAGATGAAGCCTTGTGACAGTCTCTGTATGTGGCCAGGGTTGGGCGTGGATGGCGGGTGACTGGGGGTGTGTGACTCTCCCTGAGGGGGACTGTGGGTCCCTCACTGGGTGTGACTGTGTCAGTGCCTGGATGTGTGTGTGTGTGTCTGCCTGACTGTAGGCTTGTTTGCCTGGGTCACGGTGTGGCCCTGTCTGAGATCATCTGGCTCTGACCATGGTGTTGTGTGTTGGGCTGTGTGTCTGAGCCCAGAGCTGCCTGATATTTTGGGGACACGTGACCCCAAATGTCAGTGACTACCTTATTTTGCATACCCTTTGATCTGTGTGTCTGGGCTGTGTGACGCTGTGTAGGACTGAGAGCCTATGACTGTGTGTGTGTGGTTGTGTGAGATTTTGTGGGTCCATCTTGTGTGGATGTGTGTCTCTGTACTCAGGGTCTCTGGGTGGCACCAGGAGGAGGGAGTACCCTGTCCCAGCATGAGCCATGCAGGCTCACCCCTCCTGCCAAGTGCCCCTCATGCCCCCCTGGACAGAGTCTGCTCCTGCTTTTGGGGTGTTGTGGCAGAGCTTGGGGGTGGGGCGCCAATGCCCTTTCTCCTCTGTGTACAATGTCACAGCAAAGGCCTGTGCAGAGTGACATGGGGGGACCAGGAGGGGCCTCCAAGCCAGGTTTTGGGTATATTCCGTTCATCTGTGCATCTGTCTACCTCTCTAGGGCTGGGGGAGAGGGGGCTATGATGGGAACACCCCTCCCCCTCCCCTGAATGATCAAACTGGGATTTCCTCAGCTCACCATTCTCCCCTGCCCTGGCCAAAGCTTTTTGTCCCCCAGAGTTTGGGTACTGCGTTCCCTTTTCCCAAACTGAGCTGGGGGCCAGGACCCAGGACCCCCAGGAATGGGGTCCGTGTCTGGGAAGACTTGCATCAGGAGCAGCTCTGGGAAGGCAGGGGTTAAGGGGCCTTCATTTGCCCCCCTTTTCCCCAGCTCAGCAGCTGGTTGGAGGGGGAGTTGCTAAGGAGACTCCCATCGCCATGGCTACGGGATTCTCCTGCTTCCCCATTGGCTCCCTGTTAAGGCAGGAGCCCCTCCCTTCCACAGGTGCCCCTCTGGCTCCTCCTTGAGGGGAATGGGGAGGGGAGCCCCTCTTTCCTCAGGCAGGAAGGGTTGTGCTGATCATGACTCCCCAAACCTGGGGACCTCCATCTAGAGCTGGGAGGAGAGGAAGGGCTGACCCCACCCCCCTAGTAGCCTCATAGGGGCTCTGTTGGCTGAGCAGAAAAATAGGAGGGACTCATGGGGTCTTCAGGCATTCTCAGGAAAGACTGACACCCTCCCCACCACTGTGTTTCCCCCATCATTTCTTCCTTGTTGATTCCTTCACCTTAGTTCAAGAGGATGTTGAACCGTGAACTCACACACCTGTCAGAAATGAGCAGGTCAGGAAACCAGGTCTCAGAGTACATTTCCACAACATTCCTGGGTGAGTGAGGAGCAGCAAGTGGGATTGGTGGGGGGAACCCCTGGGGTAGAGAGGGGGCTGTCCCTGACCTTGGGTCCTGTTGCTCATGTTTTTCCAGGGACTCACTCTCAACTCCCCAAAGGTCAAAGTCACTCTATCCAAGTGCCCTTCACTCCTGATGCCCCCAAACTCTGTGAAACCCCTAACTTCTATAGAACCCAACATTTGAAGTCATCTGTGAACGTAAAACACTTCTAAACTTTAAAAAGCTTCCAGGGGCTAGGCATGGTGTCTCATGCCTGTAATCCCAACACTTTGGGAGGCAGAGGCTGGCAGATCACTTGAGATCAGGAGTTTGAGACCTGCCTGGCCAGCATGGTGAAACCCGGTCTCTATTAAAAATAAAAAAATTGGCTGGGCACAGTGGCTCATGCCTGTGATCCCAGCACTTTGGGAGGCCGAGGTAGGTGGATCACCTGAGGTCTGGAGTTTGAGACAAGCCTGGCCAACACGGTGAGACCCCATCTCTACCAAAAATACAAAAAATTAGCCAGGTGTGGTGGTGGATGCCTGTAATCCCAGCTGTTCGGGAGGCTGAGGCAGGAGAATTACATGAACCCGGGGGGCAAAGGTTGCAGTGAGCCGAGACTTCGCCATTGCACTCTGGCCTGGGAAATAGAGTGAGACTCCGTCTCAGAAACAAACAAACAGACAGGCAGACAAGCAAACAAAAAAACCTCTGTATCTTAGGTGCTCACTTGAATCCAGGAGGCAGAGGTTGCAGTAAGCCGAGATCTCACCACTGCACTCCAGCCTGGGCAACATACCCAGACTCTGTCTCAAAAGATAAGCAAAAAAAAAAAAAAAAATCATCCAAGCTGAAAAGCCTTCTGAACTGAGTAGAACCCCACATTCAATAGACTTTCCAAACTTGGATTGTCTTCCCTCCAAACTCAGTAGACCCCCCCAAACTCAAGAGAGTTGCCCAAAGTCAGTAGAGTGCTCAAACGTAAGGGAAGCGCTGTGCTTCCGAGTCCATAAAAGCCCCCAAACTTTAGCAAACCTCCAAACTGAAAAACCCCAAATTCAGTAGGATCCCCAAATTTGGCATGACTCCCCCAATTCAGTAGACGCCCAAAATGTGAGAACCCTAATCTCTAGAAGGTTCTCAAGCTTAAGAACCTGTAAGAGGCGGAAAGAGGTGGCTCATGCCTATAATACCAGCACGTTGGGAAGCTGAGGCAAGAGGATTGCTTGAGCCCAGGAGTTCAAGACCAGCCTGGGCAACATACTGAGATCCTGTCTCTACAAACAAATAAAAAAACTAGTTGGGCATGGTGGCATGTGCCTGTGGTCCCAGCCACTTGGGAGTCTAGGCAGGAGGATTACTTGAGGCCAGGAGTTCCAGGCTGCAATGAGACATGATTGCTTCACTGCCCTCCAGCCTGGGTGACAGAGCTGAGATCCTGCCTCAAAAAAACAAACAAAAACCTGCAAGATTCCTAATTCAGGGCTGGGTGTGGTGGCTCACACCTGTAATCCAAACACTTTGGAGGCCAAGGCAGGAGGATCACCTGAGGTCGGGAGTTCAAGACCAGCCTGACCAACATGGTGAAACCCAGTCTTAAAAAAAAAAAAAGGCTGGGCGCGGTGGCTCAAGCCTGTAATCCCAGCACTTTGGGAGGCCGAGGCGGGTGGATCACGAGGTCAAGAGATTGAGACCATCCTGGTCAACATGGTGAAACCCCGTCTCTACTAAAAATACAAAAAATTAGCTGGGCATGGTGGTGCGTGCCTGTAATCCCAGCTACTGGGGAGGCTGAGGCAGGAGAATTGCCTGAACCCAGGAGGCGGAGGTTGCGGTGAGCCGAGATCGCGCCATTGCACTCCAGCCTGGGCAACATGAGTGAAACTCCGTCTCAAAAAAAAAAAAAAAAAAAAGATTCCTAATTCAGTGGAACCCCAAATGCACCAGAATACTCCAGACTCATTAGAACCCTTAAGTTCTTGGGCACCTCAAAACCCTCTAGCTAAAGATGTCCCCCCAAACTCAGGATAATTTTCTCCTTGCAGTTTGTCATCACACCACAAAGGCCCCCAAATTCAGGAGCTGCCCAGACAAGCTCAAGAAAGGTGTTGGGGCCGGGTGTGATGGCTCACGCCCGTAATCCCAGCGCTTTGGAAAGCCGAGGTGAACAGATCACTTGAGGTCAGGAGTTCAAGATCAGCCTGGCCAACATGGTGAAACCCTGTCTCTACTAAAATACAAAAATTTGCCAGCATGGTGGCACACACCTGTAATCCCAGCTACTCGGGAGGTTGAGGCAGGAAAATCATTGAACCCGGGAGGCAGCAGCTGCAATGAGCCAGAGATCTTGCCACTGCACTCCAGCCTGGGTGACAGAACCGGACTCTGTCTCAAAAAAAAAAAAAAAGTGTTGGGAATTTCCAGTGCTCCCACCAGTGAGGGTGGGGTGTGTCTTTGTGTTCTGAGGATCCAGCCAATGGGAGCATAGCATGCAAATGACCCCGATCAGGCCCCATCGTTGACTAGCTGGCTCCAGGTCACAATGGGTGGCCTTGGCTGAGCTCCAAAAGCTCAGGAAAAGGGCTTCTGGGGCTGTCCCCCAGGCAGGCTGTGCCAAGGTGGGCAGGGCGGCGAGGACATGGAGCCAGAGTACTCATGGAGCCAGAGTGTTCATGGAGCCAGATGCTGTCCCCCGCCCCATCGGTACTCTTGGCCCACATGCCAGAAGTGTTCTGCCCTTATGGGTGAGCCTTCCCCATAGGCGGTAGAGGGCTGAGGGATTAGGGAGACTCCAGGGATGGAGGGGGTGTTCACACTTGTTCCCGCCCCCATCTTCTGCAGACAAACAGAATGAAGTGGAGATCCCATCACCCACGATGAAGGAACGAGAAAAACAGCAAGTGCCGAGACCAAGACCCTCCCAGCCGCCCCCGCCCCCTGTACCACACTTACAGCCCATGTCCCAAATCACAGGGGTGAAAAAGTTGATGCATAGTAACAGCCTGAACAACTCTAACATTCCCCGGTTTGGGGTGAAGACTGATCAAGAAGACCTCCTGGCCCAAGTGGGTGGGGGTTCAGTAGGGGCAGGGCTGGAGGGGATGATCTCCTGGGACCCCGAAAAGAACTGGGCATTGGGTTATGTCTTAAGCCAAGTTTCCTAGAAGCAGAGCCTGAGATGAGGGTTTGAGCCCATCTTGAGGCAAGCATGCTGGCTCTTTGTACATCTGTATAATCCATTGCCTGGGGGCTGTCCCCAGGGGTAGACGTATCACCTCTTCCATGTAGCTCCTGTTAGGGTTAGAGTCTTCCAGAAAAGCGGCCAGCTGTGAGCCTTAGCAGGCACCACTTCCAGCTGCAGAGGAATTGGTGTACAGACCAGTGACACTGATCCAGACTGCACCCCCATAATGTCCACAACAGTCCAGACCTGGGTTTCACTCCTAGCTCTTCCAGGGGACAGTGGAAGTGGAAGTGATTAATCTTTGGTGGCTCACTCAGCTGAGACTTATTGTAACCCTCTTTAAGCCACCTCCTCCAGTGAATCTTCCATTCAGTCACCTGACATTTATTTATTTATTTATATTGAGATAGAGTCTCACTCTTGCCCAGGCTGGAGGGCAGTGGTGCTATCTCAGCTCACAGCAACCTCCGCTTCCTGGGTTTAAGCGATTCTCCTGTCTCACCCTCCTGAGTAGCTGGGACTAAAGGTGTGTGCCACCACAGCTGGCTAATTTTTGTTTTTTGAGACGAGTCTCGTTCTGTTGCCCAAGCTGGAGTGCAATGGTGCGCTCTCGGCTCACCGCAACCTCCACCTCCTGGGTTCAAGCGATTCTCCTGCCTCAGCTTTCCAAAGTGCTGGGATTACAGGTGTGAGCTACCACACCTGGCTTAATTTTTGTATTTTTAGTAGAAATGGGGTTTCACCATATTGACCAGCCTGGTCTTGAACTCCTGGCCTCAAGTGATCCACCCACCTAGGACTCCCAAAATGCTGGGATTACAGGTGTGAGCCACCACACCCAGCCAACTGTTGTTTATTAAGCAGCTACTATGTGCTGGCCCTTTTTTGGATTCTGGGGTGACATGGAAAATAAGCCCTTCTTCTTTTCTCCCTTGGGGCTTGTGAACAGCTTAGCTAAGAAGCTGAGCTGTGCTGGGGCCAGTTGTGCTGGGTTTCCATCCTGGCTTTGCCACTTATGAGCTGCACGATCTTGGAGAAGTCACATCACTTCTCTGAGGCTTGGTTCCTTCACCTGCCAAATGAGATCAAGTGCTAAGAGCAATACTTGGCAGATCATAAGTGCTCAAAAGACAGTGGCTGTGATTGCTTTTGTTACTTTGCAGCCCAGTAGGACGAGGGCAGTACATTCTGTACTGTTGAACCTGTCACTCACTGGGTGAGCAATAATGGTGCTTCCCTTCAGACCAAGGCTCAAACTCCTAGGAAATGTTCTCCAGGGCCCTGGGCCTTACAGGCTCCTGACCTCTGGCCTCCGTCTTCACCAGGAACTGGAGAACCTGAACAAATGGGGCCTGAACATCTTTCGCGTGTCGGATTACGCCGGAGGGCGCTCTCTCACCTGCATCATGTACATGATATTCCAGGTGATGGGGACAGCCAGGAGTGGGCCCGGGTGAGAGGGGCTCAGATCTGGGCGTTGGGGGCTGGTGGAGGTCACCACCCTGCCCCTGCCTGCTTCAGGAGCGGGACCTGCTGAAGAAATTCCGCATCCCTGTGGACACGATGGTAACATACATGCTGACGCTGGAGGATCACTACCACGCTGACGTGGCCTACCACAACAGCCTGCATGCAGCCGACGTGCTGCAGTCCACCCACGTACTGCTGGCCACGCCTGCCCTAGATGTTAGTGTCTGTCCCGGCTCCAGGTCCCCATCTCTCTTTCCAACTGTCTCTTCAGCCTTCTGTGTGTCTCTCTGATCCCGTGTCTCTGACCTCCATCTCTTTTTGCCCCCTATTTCTCCCTTTTTTTTTTTTTTTCTTTTGAGACAGAGTCTCACTCTGCTGCCTAGGCTGGAGTGTAGTGGCATGATCTTGGCTCACTGCAACCTTCGCCTCCCAGGTTCAAGCAATTCTCCTGCCTCAGCCTCCTGAGTAGCTGGGATTACAGGTGCACACCACCATGCCTGGCTAATTTTTGTATTTTTAGTAGAGACGGGGTTTCGCCATGTTGGTCAGGCTGGTCTTGAGCTCCTGACCTCGTGATCTGCCTGCCTCTGCCTCTCAAAGTGCTGGGATTATAGGCATAAGCCACCATGCTCCGCCCCATTCCTCTCTTTAATCCTCATCTTTCCTTCCTGACTCCAACCCCCTAATCTTCCTTGTATCCCCCCGTCATCCTTTACCCATCTCTGTTATCTCCATCATTTTTCTTTTTAAAAATCTCATTTATTTAAAAAAATGTTTTAGGCTGGGTGCGGTGGCTCACGCCTGTAATCCCAGCACTTAGGGAGGCCAAGGCAGGTGGATCACCTGAGGTCAGGAGTTCAAGACCAGCCTGGCTAACATGGTGAAACCCCGTCTCTACTAAAAATACAAAAATTAGCTGGGTGTGGTGGCACACGGCTGTAATCCCAGCGACTTGGGAGGCTGAGGCAGGAGAATCACTGGAACCCAGGAGGTGGAGGTTGCAGTGAGCCGAGATCACACCACTGTACTCCAGCCTGCAAGACAGGCTGGAAAAAATAATTTTAGAAAGTGTAGTACATATACACCATAGAATACTCTATAGCCATAAAAAGGAACAAGATCCTGTCCTTTGCAGGGACATGGCTGGAGCTGGAAGCCGTTATCCTTAGCAAACTAATGCAGGAATAGAAAACTAAACATCACATGTTCTCACTTATAAGTGGGAGCTGAACAATAAGAACATATGACACAGGGAAGGGAACAACACACTGGAGCCTGTCGGAGGCCAGAGGGGAGGAGGAGCATCAGGATAAACAGTTAATGGATCCAGGGCTTAACCCCTAGGTGATGGGTTGATAGGTGTAGCAAACCACCATGGCACACCTATGTAACAAACCTGCACGTCCTGCACATGTATCTCATAACTTAAAATTAAATTTTAAAAAATTTTGGGCTGGGGAGGATAGCCTCGAACTTCTGGCCTTGAAGTTCTGGACTTAAGCAATCCTCCCACCTCAGCCTCCTAAGTAGCTGAGACTACAGGCACTCACTGCCATGCATGGCTTCAACTCTGTTATTCTAACATCTGTCTCTCTGCTCCCAGGCAGTGTTCACGGACCTGGAGATTCTCGCTGCCCTCTTCGCGGCTGCCATCCACGATGTGGATCACCCTGGGGTCTCCAACCAGTTCCTCATCAACACCAGTGAGTGGCCCTCACAGGGGGCGGGGCTTGCTGTGTTGGAGGCGGGGCTTGCTGAGTTGGAGGCGGGGCTGGCTGGGCTGGAGGCAATGCTGGCCAGGCTGGGGAATAGCTGGCTGGGCTGTAGGCGGGGCTGGCCGAGCTGGGGAGGGGTTAGCTAGCTGCGGGTGGAGCGGGCCCTCCTGCGGTTGGGGCTGCACACGTGGGCCCTCCCCTGACCTCTGGGCCGGGCTGCAGATTCGGAGCTGGCACTCATGTACAACGATGAGTCGGTGCTCGAGAATCACCACCTGGCCGTGGGTTTCAAGCTGCTGCAGGAGGACAACTGCGACATCTTCCAGAACCTCAGCAAGCGCCAGCGGCAGAGCCTACGCAAGATGGTCATCGACATGGTGGGCGGGGCTGGGGCGGGTCGGAGCGGGAAAAGAAGCCTTGGAGTTGAGGGCTTGGGGAGGAATGGGTCCGAGTCCCAGAGGAACCCTCAACCTGGACAGAGCGGGAGGCTTCTACCTGGTGACAACTTCAGAGGCCTGGGTCAGTCTGGGGGCGGGCGTCAGCGGCCCCAGTGACGCCACCTTGCCCTGCAGGTGCTGGCCACGGACATGTCCAAGCACATGACCCTCCTGGCTGACCTGAAGACCATGGTGGAGACCAAGAAAGTGACCAGCTCGGGGGTCCTCCTGCTGGATAACTATTCTGACCGCATCCAGGTGCCCCCATGCCCCATCATCTAAGGAGGCAGGACACTCCCTCCGCCACACCTTTAGGTCTGGGTAGCTAACTGCCCCTTCCTCAGCCTCTTTCTTCAATGGGGCCCATCTTCCCATCTCTTTCTTTTTATAAAATTTCTTTTTATTTACTTTGTACGATTAAAGGAGAGCTGGGGTCTCTGTCACCCAGGCTGGTCTGAAATTCCTGAGCTGAAGTGATCCCCTCGTCTTGGCCTTGCAAAGTGCTGGGATAGCTGGCATGAGCCACTGAATCTGACCTCTTTCTTTCTGTCTGTCTGTCCCCTCCTCATCTTCGCTTTCCCATCCCATCTCTTCTTCCCATCTCCCCCACCATTCTCTCCCATTTCCCCCAATTCCTCCTTTCTTCTCATCAACCCCTTCCAGGTCCCCTGTCCCTCTCCTTCACCATCTTCTCTTCCCTCACCCCCCTCTTGTCACCCCCCCATATTTTCTCCATCTCCCGCACACCTCTCCCTGCTACCTCCTCTATTCTCTCTTGTCCCCACCTCCTCTCCCCACTCCCCACACCCTCCCTCCCCAGGTGGGAGCTAAGAAAGCCTGAGAGTTAGGTGTGGTGGCTCACACCTATAATCTCAACTACTGAGACTGTGACAGGAGGACTGTTTGAGGCCAGTAGTTTGAGTCCAGCCAGAGCTACATTGCAAGGTCCCATTTCTTTCTTTCTTTTTTGAGACCTGGTTTCTCTCTGTCACCCAGGCTGGAGTGGAGGGATCTTGGATCCCTGCAACCTCTGCCTCCTGGGCTCAAGCAATTCTCCTGCCTCAGCCTCTGGAGTACCTGGGATTGCAGGCACCCACCACCAGACCTGGCTGATTTTTGTATTTTTAGTAGAGATGGGGTTTTGCTATGTTGGCAAGGCTGATCTTGAACTCCTGACCTCAAGTGATTTGCCCACCTCGGCTTCCCAAAGTGCTGGAATTACAGGCTTGAGCCACCATGCCAGGAGGCCCCATTTCTTTTTTTTTTTTTTTTCTCCCGAGACAGAGTCTTGCTCTGTTGCCCAGGCTGGAGTGCAGTGGTGCAATCTCGCCTCACTGCAACCTCTGCCTCCTGAGTTCAAGCAATTCTCCTACCTTAGCCCCTGGAGTAGCTGAGATTACAGGCATGTGCCACCAGGCTGAGCTAATTTTTGTATTTTAAGTAGAGACGGGGTTTCACCATGTTAGCCAGGCTGGTCTTGAACTCCTGACCTCATGATCCACCTGCCTTGGCCTTTCATTCAAAGTGCTGGCATTACAGGCATGCACCTCCGCCTAGCCCCATTTCTTTTTTTGAGATGAAGTCTTGCTTTGTCACCCAGGCCCCCATTTCTTAAGAAAGAAAGAATGCCTGAGGTCTTAGCCTGGGACACAGGCACAGGCTCTGAAGGTTCCCCTGTCCACTGACCCCCTGCAGGTCCTCCGGAACATGGTCCACTGTGCAGACCTCAGCAACCCCACCAAGCCACTGGAGCTGTACCGCCAGTGGACAGACCGCATCATGGCCGAGTTCTTCCAGCAGGGTGACCGCGAGCGGGAGCGTGGCATGGAAATCAGCCCCATGTGCGACAAGCACACGGCCTCCGTGGAGAAGTCTCAGGTACAGGCTCAGGGCACTGACAGAGGGACACGGACAGGGCAGGCCTCCCCAGCCCATCTTGGCCTGAAGTTTTAAGGTCTGGGAGCCCCTCCCGTGCCTCTCCACAATGCCAAGTTTTCCTGTTTGTTTTTCTTTCCTTTTTTTAATTTGAGACAGAATTTTACTCTATTGCCCAGGCTGGAGTGCAATGGTGCGGTCTCAGCTCACTGCAACCTCCATCTGCCGGGTTCAAGTGATTCTCCTGCCTCAGCCTTCAAGTAGCTGGAATTACAGGCTCGTGCCACTGTACCTGGCTAATTTTTCCCAGTTGATCTTTAACTCCTGACCTGATGATCCACCCACCTCAGCCTCCCAAAGTGCTGCGATTACGGGCATGAGCCACCTTGCCCTGCACTTCTCCACTTTATATCCTCCCTGGTAAAACCCAACCATCTGAGTTAGATGACTTGGCTCTTCCAGACCTGGGTTTCTAGGCCTCACCAAATGTTGACATTTGGGTGGATTTTTTTGTTTGTTTGTTTGAGATGGAGTTTTGCTCTTGTTGCTCAGGCTGGAGTGCAATGGTATGATCTTGGCTCACCGCAACCTCTGCCTCCTGAGTTCAAGCGATTCTCCTGGCTCAACCTCCTGAGTAACTGGTATTACAGGCATGTGCCACCATGCCCGGCTAATTTCTTTCTTTCTTTTTTTTTTTTTTTTTTTTTTTTTTTTTTTTGAGATGGAGTTTCACTCATGTTACCCCGGCTGGAGTGCAATGGCGCGATCTCGGCTCACCGCAACCTCCGCCTCCTGGGTTCAGGCAATTCTCCTGCCTCAGCCTCCTGAGTAGCTGGGACTACAGGCACGCGCCACCATGCCCAGCTAATTTTTTGTAGTTTTAGTAGAGACGGGGTTTCACCATGTTGACCAGGATGGTCTTGATCTCTTGACCTCGTGATCCACCCGCCTCGGCCTCCCAAAGTGCTGGGATTACAGGCTTGAGCCACCGCGCCCGGCCTAATTTCTTTCTTTCTTTCTTAATTTTTGAGATGGAGTCTCACTCCGTCGCCCAGGCTGGAGTGCAGTGGCAAGATCTGGGCTCACTGCAACCTCTGCCTCCTGGGTTCAAGTGATTCTCCTGCCTCAGCCTCCCACGTATCTGGTACTACAGGCATGTGCCACCATGCCTGGCTAATTTTTTGTATTTTTAATACAGACAAGGTTTCACTGTGTTAACCAGGATGATCTCAATCTCCTAATCTCATGATCCACCCACCTCGTCCTCCCAAAGTGCTGAGATTACAGGCATGAGCCACCGTGCCTAGACTAATTTTGTATTTTTAGTAGAGACGGAGTTTCTCCATGTTGGTCAGGCTGGTCTTGAACTCCCTACCTCAGATGATCCACCAACCTTGGCTTCCAAAAGTGCTGGGATTACAGGCATGAGCCACCAGGCATGGCAGGGTGGATTATTTTTTGTGCTAGGAGCTGCCCTGGGTATTATAGGGTTTTTAGCAGAATCTCTGTTCTCTACCCATTAGATGCCAGAAGCATCACCCCCGCTCATTTGTAAAGACCAAAAATGTCTCCAGACATTGCCTGATGTCCCCTGGGAGCACAGAATCACTCACACACACACAACCATGGAAAACCAATTTTATACTCTTTATAATGTAGTTATTATGTTTATAGGCAACATCACGGCAATAGTTTGTGGATTGAGCTTTTTTTTTGAGACAGAGTCTTACTCTGTTACAGTGGCCCAATCTCAGCTCACTGCAACCTCCACCTCCTGGGTTCAATCAATTCTGCCTCAGCTTCCTGAATAGCTGGAATTGGATTTAGCTTATTAAAAAATAGGCCAGGCGTGATGGTTCACACCTGTAATCCCAGCACTTTGGAAGGCTGACGCAGGTGGATCACTTGAGGTCAGGAGTTTGAGACCAGCCTGGGTGAACATGGCGAAACCCTGTCTCTACTAGAAATACAAAAATTAGCTAGGCATGGTGCGGGTGCCTGTAATCTCAGCTACTCTGGAGGCTGAGGCAGGAAAATCACTTGAACTCAGGAGGCTGAGGTTGCAGTGAGCTGAGATCATACCACTGCACTCCAGCCTGGGCAACAGAGCAAGACTCAATGTCAATAAAAAAAGAAAATGGGCCGGGCGCGGTGGCTCAAGCCTGTAATCCCAGCACTTTGGGAGGCCGAGGCGGGTGGATCACGAGGTCAAGAGATCGAGACCATCCTGGTCAACATGGTGAAACCCCGTCTCTACTAAAACTACAAAAAATTAGCTGGGCATGGTGGTGCGTGCCTGTAATCCCAGCTACTCAGGAGGCTGAGGCAGGAGAATTGCCTGAACCCAGGAGGCGGAGGTTACGGTGAGCTGAGATCGCGCCATTGCCCTCCAGCCTGGGTAACAAGAGTGAAACTCTGTCTCAAAAAAAAAAAAAAAAGAAAAGAAAGAAAAAGAAAAGAAAATGGCTGGGTCAAATGACATGAACATGGTTTTCTTTTTATTTATTTATTTTGAGACAGTCTTGCTCTTTTCCCCCAGGCTGGAGTGTAGTGGCACCATCTCCTTGGTTCACGGCAACCTCCACCTCCCAGGTTCAAATGATTTCCAGCTAATTTTTGTATTTTTAGTAGAAACGCTGTTTCACCATGCTGGCCAGGCTGGTCTTGAACTCCTGACCTCAAATGATCCGCCTGCCTCGGCTTCCCAAAGTGCTGGGATTACAGGCGTGAGCCATCGCGTCTGGCCCATGAGCATGTTTTTCATTTCATTAGCTCCCGCAACGTGGTGGTACCATCCACCCTGTAGACCACCCGTTCTTACTTTCTTTCCCTTTACCAGGTGGGTTTTATTGACTACATCGTGCACCCATTGTGGGAGACCTGGGCGGATCTCGTCCACCCAGATGCCCAGGAGATCCTGGACACGTTGGAGGACAACCGGGACTGGTACTACAGCGCCATCCGGCAGAGCCCATCGCCGCCACCCGAGGGGGAGTCAAGGGGGCCTGGCTACCCACCCCCGCCTGACAAATTTCAGTTTGAGCTTACGCTGGAGGAGGAAGAAGAGGAAGAAACATCAGTGGCCCAGGAGGCATTGACCTCGCAGGGATTGTCCACAGCCGAGGGTGCTCTGGATGCAACCATGGCCTCATCCCCAGCCAAGGAGTCATTGGAAGTCATGGCACAGGACACGCCCCTGGAGGCGGAGCTGGAGGAAGTGGATTTGACGCAGCAGGCAGAGTCCACGGGCAGTGCACCTGTGGCTCGGGATGACTTCTCATCCCAGGAGGAATCCGTGGTTGCTGTAAGCCATGGCAGCCCCTCTGCCCTGTCTCTTCAAAGCCCCCTTCTCCCTGCCTGGAGGACCCTGTCTGTTTCAGAGGATGCCCCGGGCCCCTCGGGCCTCCCCTCCACGGCGGCCGAGGTGGAGGCCCAACGAGAGCACCAGGCTGCCAAGAGGGCTTGCAGTGCCTGCGCGGGGACATCTGGGGAGGAAACATCAGCACTCCCAGCTCCTGGTGGGTGGGGGTCACGTGGAGGAGACCCTACCTGATCCCCAGACCTCTATCCCTGTACCCCTCCGCTCTTCCTCCCCTCCCTCAATCACCTCCTCCGCTGCCTCAAAGACTCTTAGCCCTCCTAAGAAAAAAGAAAACAGAAAAGTGGGTTTTTTTTTCTCTTTTCTTTTTTTCCCCTTTCCCCCCACCCCCACCCACGGGGCCTTTTTTTTTGGAGGTGGGGGCTGGGGAACGAGGGGCTGAGGTCCCGAAAGGGATTTTATTTTTTTGAATTTTAATTGTAACATTTTTAGAAAAAGAACAAAAAAAAAAAAAAAAAAAAGAAACACAGCAACTGTAGATGCTCCTGTTCCTGGTTCCCCCTTTCCACCTCCAAGACCCTCCCCTCCCCTCATTGCCCCCCAAGTTCCAGGCTTAGTCTTCCAGCCGCCTGGGCATCTCTACCTGGGCCCGGGCAGGCATGGGGTCTTCTTCTGGGCTTTTCTTCTGAATTTTAGAGGGTTTCTAGAACCCGGTCAGGAATAGCCATTCTAGGCGGGGCTGGGGCTGGGTAAGGGGCAGTCACTGTGGGAGGTCCCAGCTCCAGCCCCGCTCTGATTTGCTGCCTCTTTTCCCCCCTAAAAGAAGTCTTCCGCCTGATTTTGCACAATCCTGGCAATCTGGCTAGGGAGTCAGGGAGCCCGGGAGTTGTTCACTTAGGATTCAGGGGGTGATGTGGAAGGGGGCGTGCACACCGCCAGCCTCAGGCATGGGATTTGAGGAGGGTCCTAGACCTCCTCCACTCTCCATCCCCTCTCCCTTCCACTTTGGGTTCACTTTGAATTTTCTCCGTTTTGGGGGGTGGTGGCTTTGATTCACACACAGCTCCCCCCACTACTCCACTTCTAGCTGCTTCTCCTCTTGTTTCTGCCTTAATGATTCCCACAGCCACAGGAGAAAGGGTTGCAGTGGCTTCCGCCTGCACCTTGAGTGAGGCAGGGCCAGGCGCCCAGAACCCCCATCCTGCCCGTACCCACCTTTCCAGTGTCCTCCAGATCCCACCTTCCACACTCTGACCACAGCCCCCATCCTTTTGCCCTAGGAGGAAGCAATAATGGCGTATACCCTCATTCTCAGTCCTGGGCAACCCTTCCTTCCACCCCAGCACCAAAATAATTTCTCCTCCTTCCCTACCTTGCCAGGCCTCTCCCTCTCCCCCAGCTAGTCCCTGAGCAATATGGCAGACAGATACAAGGCCATTTTTCTCCAAGCCATGGGAGACTGTTTGAAAGGAAAGACCCCTCTCTCCCTCCTCCCTCGCCCCTCAGCCTGGTTCTGCAACTGGGCTGATCTCTTTCATCACCTGCCCCCCACCCAGTTCTGAGCACACAGTACTGTAGCCCCCAGTTCCTCCCTAGCCTTCCATCTGTCTGTCCACCCCAGGGGGAAGTAACCCCCCACACGCACTCCCTTGATGCTGTCTGTACAGGGTTCATATTTTGTAGCGAAAGTTGTTTCTGTCCCAGCCGGGGATCAGAGTGGGCCTTTTCTTTCTTTTCTTTTTGTTCATTCTTTTTCTTTCTTTCTTTTTTTTTTTTTTTTGTACATACTGTAAGGTTGGTTTGTAAATTATTCTACAGAAGCAAAAAGGGAAAATAAAAACTTGTCCTTCCCTGGCTGATCCAGTCAGGAAGGTAGGGAAGGGGGCCTCCTGTTGGGAGAGTCTCCGTTCCTGCTGTATTATACAAACTGTACCATAGTCCCGGGAAAAGGGTGGACTCACCACTGTCGTTTTACGGGAAGTCGTGTCATCCTAGGGGTGGGGGCTGGGTAGAGCCTGTCCCCTCCCCCTACCCCAGGAGCCAGGGGGTGACTGGCGAGACAGACCCCACCCCCAAGCAGGGCTCCTCTCCCCAGGGTGGGCACAGGACCTCTGTAAGCTGCTTGTGTCTTGTCCACTTTGACGATCAGTCATTTGGTCCATTGATCAATAATCAATCTTCGATCTTGTCTCCAATTAAAACGAGGCTTTCACCGATTTTCCTGGCTGATGTGGATTCATTCCCCATGTTGTCAGTTGAGGTGTCTTCCCCACCCTGCACCATCTGCCTGTATTGAGGAGGGAGTTTCTGTCCCTACTCCTTCTCTAGCAGATGGAATTGTGAAGTAGAGCTCAGCCAAAGACAGTCCCCAAGTCTGAGTCGGGTTAAATTCAAACCATGCAGGTATATATATATATTTTTTGAGATGGAGTCCCACTCTGTTGCTCAGGCTGGAGTGCAGTGGCCCGATCTTGGCTCACTGCAACCTCTGCCTCCCGGGTTCAAGCGATTCTCCTGCCTCAGCCTCCCAAGCAGCTGAGACTATAGGCACCTGCCACCACAGCCAGCTAGTTTTTTGTATTTTTAGTAGAGATGGGGTTTCGCCGAGAGCGGTGTCGCGTGCCTGTAGTCCCAGCTACTCTGGAGGCTGAGGTGGGAGGATCACTTGAGCCCAGGATTTCTGGGCTGTAGTGCATTATCCCGATCGGGTGTCCTAAGTTCAGCATCAATATGGTGACCTCCCGGGAATGGGGGACCACCAGGTTGCCTAAGTGGGGGTGAACCGGCCCAGGTCGGAAACGGAGCAGGTCAAAACTCACATGCTGATCAGTAGTGGGATTGTGCCTGTGAATAGCCACTGCACTCCAGCCTGGGCAACATAAGGAAACTTCGTCTATACAAAAAAAAAAAAAAAAAAGAAGAGAAAGATGGGGTTTCATCATGTTAGCCAGGCTGGTCTCAAACTCCTGACCTCAGGTGATCCACCTGTCTTGGCCTCCCAAAGTGCTGGGATTACAGGCATGAGCCACCTTGCCTGGCCCCAAGCAGTATTTAAAAGGCAAAAGACGGCCGGGCGCAGTGGCTCAAGCCTGTAATCCCAGCACTTTGGGAGGCCGAGGCAGGTGGATCACGAGGTCAAAAGATCGAGACCATCCTGGTCAACACGGTGAAACCTGTCTCTACTAAAAATACAAAAAATTAGCTGGGCATGGTGGTGCGTGCCTGTAATCCCAGCTACTCAGGAGGCTGAGGCAGGAGAATTGCCTGAACCCAGGAGGCGGAGGTTGCGGTGAGCCGAGATCGCGCCATTGCACTCCAGCCTGGGTAACAAGAGCGAAACTCCGTCCCAAAAAATAAAAAAATAAAAAAATAAAAATAAAAGGCAAAAGACTACCCAGCATAGAGGCTCTCGCCTGTAATCCCAGCATGTTAAGAGGCTGGTGGGAGGACCACTTGAACTTGAACCCAGGAGTTCAAGACAAGCTTGGGCAACATAGTGAGACCCTGTCTCTATTAAAATTTTTAAAAATTAGGCCAGGTGGCCGGGCGCGGTGGCTCAAGCCTGTAATCCCAGCACTTTGGGAGGCCGAGGCGGGTGGATCACGAGGTCAAGAGATCGAGACCATCCTGGTCAACATGGTGAAACCCCGTCTCTACTAAAAATACAAAAAATTAGCTGGGCTTGGTGGCGCATGCCTGTAATCCCAGCTACTCAGGAGGCTGAGGCAGGAGAATTGCCTGAACCCAGGAGGCGGAGGTTGTGGTGAGCTGAGATTGCGCCATTGCACTCCAGGCTGGGCAACAAGAGCAAAACTTCATCTCAAAAAAAAATTAGTTAGTTAATTATTTACATAAAATGGGACAACAGTTCCAGAGTTAAAGGGTTGCTTTATAGTAGGGCTTGTCCAGTAAAACTTTCTTTCTTTCTTTTTTTGAGGCAGGAGATCACTCTTGTCATCCAGGCTGGAGTGCAGTGGTGCCGTCTCGGCTCACTACAACCTCCGCCTCCTGGGTTCAAGCAATTGTCCTGCTTCAGCCTCCCAAATAGCTGGGATTACAGGCACACACCACCACACCCGGCTAATTTTTGTATTTTTAAATAGAGGTGAGGTTTCACCATGTTGGTCAGGCCGGTCTTGAACTCCTCACCTTGCGATCTGCCTGCCTTGACCTCCCAATGTGCTGGGATCACAGGCGTGAGCCATCGCACCTGGCCTCAGTAAAACTTTCTGTGGTAATGAGAATATTCTGTATCTGTGCTATCCAACAAGTTAGCTACTAGTCACCTGTGGCTATTGTGCCCTTGAAATGTGGCAAGTTTTAGTTTTGAGCCTCAGTGGCGGTCAGGGGCTACTGTATTAGACTTAAATTATAAAACTTCAGCCAGAGTTAATGGAAAGGATTTAGGCTATACAAAGAGTTTGACAACAGCTGTAAAAGTTCACAGTAGATAAAGCCTAGAAAATTGGGAGGGGAGAAGCAGAGCTCAAAAACTAGGTAGAAGTTTTCAGGGAATCTGAACTTTGTGCAAGAAGCAAAAAAGAGACACAGACATTTTCCCCAAGGGCTTTCAAAGTGAGGCAGAGTCGAGGAAAGGGCTTTGGGTTGAGGGTCAGGAGGCGACAGCACCAATTCTAGCCTGCAGTGAACTATGGGTGACCCTAGGTGAGACTTCTTCCAGGCCTCAGTTTCCCCAAGTGTAAAAGGGCAGGCTGGTGCATTGGCTCACGCCTGTAATCCCAGCACTTTGGGAGGCCCAGGTGGGCAGATCACTTGAGGTCAGGAGTTCCAGACCAGCTCGACCAACATGGTGAAACGCCAACTCCACTAAAAATACAAAAAGCTTCACTGGATGTGGTGGTACATGCCTGTAGTCCCAGCTACTTGGGAGGCTGAGGCAGGAGAATCGCTTGAACCTGGGAGGCAGGGGTTGTAGTGAGCTGAGATCATGCCACTGCACTCCAGCCTGGGTGACAAAGTGAGACTCTATCTTAAGAAAGAAAAAAAAAAAAAAAAAAAAAAAAGGCCAGGTGTGGTGGATCACGCCTGTAATCCTAGCACTTCGGGAGACCGAGGTGGGTGGATCACCTGAGGTTAGGAGTTGAAGACCAGCCTGACCGACATGGTGAAACTCCGTTTCTGCTAAAAATACAAAAATTAAGGCCGGGCGCGGTGGCTCAAGCCTGTAATCCCAGCACTTTGGGAGGCCGAGGCGGGTGGATCACAAGGTCAAGAGATCGAGACCATCCTGGTCAACACGGTGAAACCCCGTCTCTACTAAAAATACAAAAAATCAGCTGGGCATGGTGGCGCATGCCTGTAGTCCCAGCTACTCAGGAGGCTGAGGCAGGAGAATTGCCTGAACCCAGGAGGCGGAGGTTGCGGTGAGCCGAGATCGCGCCATTGCACTCCTGCGTAGCTAGGAAAAACCCACCTCCGTCCCAAAAAATAAAAAAATAAAAAAAAAAAAAAATACAAAAATTAGCTGGGCATGGCGGCGGGCATTTGTAATCCCAGCCACTTGGGAAACTGAGGCAGGAGAATCGCTGGAACCCCGGGAGGTGGAGGTTGCAATGCGCTGAGATCGCACCACTGCACTCCAGCCTGGGACAGACTGAAAATGTGGGTCGAAAATGGTAGTGACATGTGACCATCAGCTGGCTCTTTAAAATTCTCTGGGGCAGGGAGTTCACCTTTCTTCAGGCAAAGGTGAACCAGGGCAGTGGGGCACAGCAGGGAGGCCACATAATCTGAAGGAGGCCAGGGTTATCTGGGGAAGGTGTGGAGTCAGCCCATTCTCTGATATTGACATCAAGGCTTACAGGCTTCCCTGTAGTGATCTTGGGCAAATGGCTCCACCTCTTCCAGCCTTTAGAGGGCTCTGTCTTAGCTCTGTGCGAAGCTTTTTTTTTTTTTTTTTTTTTTTTTTTTTTTTTTGAGACGGAGTTTCACTCTTGTTATCCAGGCTGGAGTGCAATGGCGCGATCTCGGCTCACCGCAACCTCCGCCTCCTGGGTTCAGGCAATTCTCCTGCCTCAACCTCCTCAATAGCTGGGATTACAGGCACGCGCCACCATGCCCAGCTAATGTTTTGTATTTTTAGTAGAGACGGGGTTTCACCATGTTGACCAGGATGGTCTCGATCTCTTGACCTCGTGATCCACCCGCCTCGGCCTCCCAAAGTGCTGGGATTACAGGCTTGAGCCACCGCGCCTGGCCTGTGCTAAGCTTTTTAAGAAGATTATCTCGTTGACTCTCCAGCTGTTCTTGAGATATGGACTATCATTGTTTCCGTTTTGCAGTTGAAGAAACTGAGGGCTGGCATGAGATTGCACAATATGGAGAAAATTTGAGGAAATAAGACAAGGACCTCACTTCACCCAGTGCCTGTTCAACAGTGACAGCCTTCCCCATACTTTTATGTTATTTCAGATGCACGAAATCTTGAGATGTGGGCAATATTTCTAACAGCATAAAAACATGACAGTGCAGGCCAGGCGTGGTGGCTCACACCTATAATCCCAGCATGTTGGGAGGCCAAGGCAGGTGGATCACCTGAGGTCAGGAGTTCGAGACCCGCCTGACTAACAAAGTGAAACCCCATCTCTACTAAAAATACAAAAATTAGCCAGGTGTGGTGGTCCATGCCAGTAATCCCAGCTACTTGGGAGGCTGAGGCAGGTGAATTGATTGAATCCGGGAGGTGGAGGTTGCAGTGAGCTGAGATCATGCCACTGCACTCCAGCCTGAGTAACAGAGCAAAACTCCATCTCAAAAAGAAAGTCAATGCAAATCAAAATAAGACATTTATTTTTTAATTTCTTTTGCCTATCTGTCATTGTGCAAGGACACATTTATTTTCATCTAGTAGTAAATAATGGAAAGATGGACCATCTTTCAGATAGGCAAAGCACTTTTATAGCTCATTTCTGTTCATGGAATCTAGAACATATAGCTTTCCAGGAATGGTCTGACAATATTTATCAAAAACATAACCAGCTGGGCGTGGTGGCTCACATCTGTAATCCCAGCACTTTTGGAGGCTGAGGAGGTAGGATCATTTGAGCCCAGGAATTCAAAGCTAGCCTGGGTGACATAGTGAGACATGTCTTTTTTCTTTCTTTCTTTTTTCTTTTGAGACAGGATCTCACTCTGTTATCCAGGCTGGAGTGCAGTGGCACCAAGGTGGCTCACTGCAACTTGACCACATAGGCTGA